CCACCACCCCCGCCGCCGCCCACCACCACCGCCACCACCACCACCACCACCACCAGCAGCAGCAGCAGCAGCAGCAGCACCACCACCACCACCACCACCACCAGCACCACCACCACCACCACCACCAAGCGTCTGGGCCCAAGCCTTTTGAGTGCCCCGGGGTTTTTATTTGTGCGTGTGTGAGGGTGTGTTCCTCTCCCTCCCTTTGGTGGTCCCTGTCCCCTTCTTTCAGTTTCGGGGACGTGTGAACGCCATAGATCGCTGTGCTCGCCTCTGCGCTAGCCGTACTGCACCTTTATGCGCTGCTGGAGTCTGCTGTTCTTATCATGGCTGATTGCAACGCTAGGGAGGAATCCAGGTCGGCGGACATCTCGGCAGCACAGCGATGGTTGGAAGGGGCTGCTGCCAATTCCACCAGAGCAGCGACAGGGATTCGATCAGAGTCGGGGCCATCTCGCTCGAGTCTTGACTGCACCATTCGGCTCAGGGGCATTCGTTTCCATCAATCGATCTTTAGCTCCTCCCTGGAATCTTCGACGATGGTTACCTCCCAATCCGAAGCTCGTCGACACGCTCGAGCACTGGCAACTGCTTCAACTACGAACTCTACAAGCACACAGACGCAGACTACAAATAGCGCTCCACACCACCCCAGCTGATATTTCCTCTTTGCATGACACAGTTTACTCTTTAGCGGTTCGGCACTTCCCCAAGCAGGCACCCGTTCGTGGCCCGCGGCCATGGCAGGACGGCACCCTGCAACAGTACGCTTCCCGTATGTGGGGTCATTTGCGTCACTTGCGCAGATGGGCGGCCCGTCCGGGAGCCCACTCAAGCGCGCAGGCCATGTTTCGGTGCTGGCGCCATAGTGTCTTATACCTTCGTATGCACCGCCGAGCGCAGCAACAGGGCAAAGAACTCCGTAAACAACGTCGTTTGACTCTGCTGACAGAGGCGGACCAGGCCATCAGACAAGGCCAAAGTCGCCTCTTCTACCAGCTCGTGGATAAGTTGGCACCCAAGGGTCGTTTTCGCAAATTCCAAATGACAAAGGCCGGTCAAATTCTCACAGCAGCGGAGGAACTAGAAGTCATGCGCAAACACTTCGTTCAGGTCTTCAACCCGGACCACCCCGCCGAGACCTCACAAGTTGCCATCACGGTGGCCGATGCCCCGTTTCAGGTCGAGTGTCATGAGCTGCAAGCGTTCCTGGATAAACTTCCTATTCGGAAGGCAGGCGCCCCGGCCACGGCGCCAGGGGCTGTCTGGCGTGCATGCTCGGATATGGTCGCTCCCTTACTGACGGATCTCTTGAATCGACGTTGGAGTCAGTCGCCCCTGTCCCCGCCAGAACCTTGGGCTAAGGCCACTTTGTCTCTGATGTTAAAGCCCCATAAAACAGGGTCTTCACCTAAAGACTTCAGACCAATCGGTCTTCTTGACGCGCTTGGAAAAGCGTCGATTTCGCTGCTGCTGTCCAAACTTCGTTCAGACCTAGAAAAGTACATTCGTACTTCCCCCCAGTTTGCTTACATCACCGGGAGATCGACGTCCGACGCTCTGCGTCGAGTTTTCATTCATAATGCTGAAGCACGGGAACTTCGAGCAACCAACACCAGGGACCCACGAGTTAAGAGAGCCGGGGGCAAACCCACAGCCCTTCGTGGAGCCTTACAGGTCTGTTTAGATCTATCGTCAGCATTTGATTGCGTACCCCGTCACTTCATTGCTGAGGCCTTGCAGGACGCTGGCATCACAGGAGCTCCGGCCGAGTTATTGTTAACATGGTTGCACCGCTGCACATACGATTTATTCGTGGATGGTAAGTGTGCGCACATCCCCACCACCCGCGGGGTTAAGCAGGGATGTCCAGCCAGTCCACTCCTCTTCGCGGCCTTCATGACTCTCATCACACGTCGCCTCAGTACCCGCCTCTCATGTGAATGGGTCGCACAACACCTCACTATGTTTGCCGATGATTTTCACGTGGGCAAGTGCTTCCACAGCTACCACGAACTGGAGACCCTCAGCGCTCAGGTAGGATTTATCATTACCACCTTACGCAAACACGGCATGAGTGTCCATGCTACCAAAGCCCGGGCGATACTCACATTGGAAGGTACCCAGCGCAGCACGGCCACACAAAAACTCACTCGCACCTCGGAAAATGGTAAGCTTTTCCGCGTTCATACCAAACTAGGTGATGAATTCTTGCCTCTGGTGCGCAAGGCTGACTACCTAGGTGCAGTTACCACCTATGGCCCTAGCGCCACAGCCACACTTCGTCGTCGGACCCTGCTTGCCAAAGCCGCGCACTCTCGACTCAGATGTGTGCTACATGCTTACCGCACCCTTACTGTAGTTCACAGAGTTCGGCTGTGGCGCGCCACTGTGTGGCCATGTTTGGCATACGGCTTGGAGGTTTGCGGGCTTTCGGAGGAGCACCATGCACAGATCCAGACGTTGATGATGCGGCACCTTCGGGGCATTGCGCGGAGCCCGGCTCACTTGACACATGAATCGGACAATGCTCTTGCGCAAAGACTGGGGGTTCCCCTCCCACGTGCAGCACTCCGGCGCACATTCGAGTCCGCTTTCGGCCGGCAGGAACCAGATGATTCACTTGTGCTCTCCTTTGAACATCCCTGGAACCAATCGCTTGCGCGAGGTTTGGCGGATCCGGACTCGAACTCACCTCCTGACACCTTTCAGGCTCCGACTCCCGCCGCGCGGACACCCTCTCCTCCTGTTGCTGCTGAGGTCCTTGCATCGCAGCCACAATCGGTGTCGCACCCAGAGCTCGATGCATCATTGGCTCCCCCCAACGTGGATCCATCCCCGTTCTCAGGGGCCAGGGACATGACGGAAGCCTCGCCACCACAGCCCTCAGCTGTGCCACTTTTGCCCGCGCAGGTCGGGACCCCAGGACCATACCCCTGCCCGAAATGCCAGAAATCATGTGATACTCGCAAGACTCTCAAACTTCATATGTCGCGAGTGCACAAAATCAAGACTCCTTCACATCCCTTCGATCGTGCTCTGCACTCGGTTGGCGGCATGCCAACCTGTGCCATGTGTCAACACCCGTTTACCAGATGGGAGGTCCTCGAAAAGCACATCACCTCCTGGAGCTGCCCTGCTATGCCCCTGCCTCCCACGCACACCTGTGCTCAGGTGTCCTCTCTGGGATCACCCCAGGGTGCTGAACTTCCTGACGCTGCATCAGCCTCGACTGCTCTCCTGGCACCGGTTTTGACCGCTTCCACTCCACCTCCGCCAGGCCAGCTGGGGCAGCGCACGGCTGTCATCTCGGCCTCCAATCTAGAGGACGTCCGACCGCGCGACCCCATTCTTCGTACTGAGGTAGAACAGTCGTCGGGCAGGATTTGGGAAAGAGCTATGAACATCCTTGCCGAGGGAGGGCTCTCCGCCTTACTGCGGCATCCGATAAATAGGGAACTGTTGCATCACTGTGGCGTCTGTGATCAATGGCTTGCTACGCCCACGGCTCTGAAAAATCATTACCGCCTGCAGCACACGGCGGTCTATGACAGGCTCGCAGGGTTAGTTGACAAGCTTGTGCTGCGTTCTGGCATTGCGTTAAATCCTTGTCTGTACTGCAATATCTCACACCGCCACCCCAGACAGCACTTATCGCATTGTGTCAGTCTCTGGCAGAGTTGTTTCCTTCACGCTCTCGCTGCACCTGATGGCCATGGCCGCGCCGCCGAGCCCCCAAGCGACGGACGAAGTCTTGGGGCAGCTCCAGAGCTGCTTCGGGAGCGTTCTTGCCAACAAAAGGAGCATGGACGATCCGATGCAGGCGGTGCCGGCGGATCGCACCCAGAAAACGGGACGAGGAGCGGTAGCCCTGGGAGGCCAAGGCAAAGGCTTCCAAGGAAAAGGAGCCAGACGGCGTCCAGGGGGTCGGGGGAGAGGAGAGAACAGCCGGACCTTCCCCCACGCCGACAGTCACAGCTTCTCGAGTGGCTCCACGGCGGACAACGAGGATGCAGAACTGCTTCATCTGTTGGCGAAAGCCGTGGTGCGTCACGAAGACTCGATCAACATCCTGCGCCGATCCACCGGATGGGTGTTTTGGGCCCGGTCTGGGGAGGGATCGATCCTTCCACTGCTCTCCGACCTAGCGCGGAAATGGTCCGAGGCTGCCAGCAAACAGGAGATTCAGCCGGGTCGGGTAAGCCTGCGGGTCACACTCCTTTGGGGACTTCTGACCTGCCTCCAGGAAAAGGTGGCCAACCTCACCCAGGATCAGATCGCGTTTGCGATGCAAAGTTCGTGGATAGACACGAATGGCGGCTGGAACTTCCAGAAATGGGATGCTCATCATCAGATGCTTATCGTGGACACCTCCCGGCCACCACTGAGCACTGCGCAGGTCAAGGAGAGTCTGGGGAAACTTCTTCAGGTCATCAACGGCGACACGCTGACGAGATTCTCAGCGACCCAGGAGATTCGTGCAGACGCACAGGGCAAGATCACCTTCCACGCGGACATCAGTCTCAGGGCGCCGGGCTCCGATGCGCTCTACCAGGAATTGGTGCGCCTCCAGGGCTCGGCCCTGTTCCAGATCATCGGGGTCCAGTTCAAGCCGGAAGGGTATCATCGCCCCCCTCTCATTCGGAGGCTTCAGCAACTGATTGGGTGAGGCGGGTCATCTTAACTAATCGCACCAATGTCTGTTACCTAAATTCAGTGGCACTCTGCGTAACTTGGTCTGCTCTCTGTACCCCACGCCTGCAGTCGCTCCTGAGTCAGCATGGTCGTCGCGCCCTCAACGTGCTTGTTGAGACTGCTGGTCCCATCAATCTGCTACGCAGCCCCTCTTGGCAGCATCTGCTGCATAACTGGGCTCAACCCACTCGCCAGCACGACGCAGCCGAACTTCTCCTACACATCACATCCCTACTTGGGCCTCAGGTCTTTGACGGAGTATGGGAGTCCAGACGTCAGGAGCTCGGACATGTGCGCACACTTGATGGCGGCTCTTGTGCCGCTGCAATTTCTCTTGACCTACCCGGGCGCAACGGCGGCGCCTCCCTGCAACAACTTATCAATTCCTGGCATCATCAGCACACCATACATGCCCTCCTGCAGCCCCCGCCCTTACTCATTCTGAGACTTTCCAGGTTTTTGGCTACACGCCGCAGCTTCAGAAAGCATGTAGGTAGCGTCAGATGGGGTACTGCCGTGTGGGTCCCGTTTTTCACTGGTGATGCTCTCCAGACGGAGGTCATCGAATACCGCATTTTGGCAGCGGTATGTCATCGAGGCCAGCTTGCCACCTCAGGTCACTATACATCCATCCTGCATCATTGCACGCAGGCATGGCTCTGTGATGATAACGTTAAGCCGCGACCCTGGCCGCCGGACTCCGATGACCCCCTGCAATTCTCCTCGCCCCAGGTGTATCTTTTGATATGCCGGCGTGGGGGGGCGGCTGACTGATAACAGGCCGCATGACGTGCATGCGCTGCGCTGTCGGCTGTTGAGCCGCCTCTGTCTCTCCAGGTTGGCACGGGTGCATCCGCTGGATGCGCGGGGTCACTTGGGGACATGCTGGCGCTCCGGTCAAAAGCTGCGCGCATGTTTATGTCTGCATCAGTCCTGTGATCATTTTTTTTTCACCCTGACCCTCACTCTCCCCTCCACCACCATCTCCGCCACCACCACCACCACCGCCACCACTTCCACCACCTCCACCACCACCACCCCCACCACCACCACCACCACCCCCACATGCGTCAACATCCATTCAACCTCTCACACCCCTTGCCGCACATCTCGCTGCAAGGCCGAATGCAAGGCTCGAAGCTGGGCGCACTCAGATGTCCGTCATATGCGTACTTCAGGAATCCCCTAGCCGGCTTTTGGGTCTCCACTGATCCGTGTGGCTCTACTTGGCTGTAATATGCCCCAATTAACCATCACCCCGATCCGCTTTGAGGCTCTGACTTCCTTTGCGCTGTACGTCACCTAACCTCACCCTAAGTTGCCGGGCCCATCCGTGACCCGAGAATATAGTTTGCCTCTGACCTTTGGGATCTCACCTAGGCTCGGATCGTCACATCTCTATCCCTCTACCTCTGATCGCAGGGATTTGTGAACTTTTGGGAGCCCCACTAGGTTCGTCATTTCTGTGCATCAGCCTTCGTGCATCGCTATCCTGGCTGCGCTTTGGCTGTGATTTGGCGTAGTACACATCTGGTGTCGTCGATCCCGCCTGGATTGAGTTGAGCTGGATTGGTGGGCAACAACATTCACGCTGCCTTTATTCTGCGGACGCTGGATGCTGAGCACTTAGAGTCTTGTACTTTGTTCAGCCGTAT